TTCCCATTGCTTCATTGCTCAAGAGCCCCTGACATTTTAGCTTCAGGCTTCTCTGGAAGTCCTTTGTTTTCTTCAAGAAGCTAATGATAAAGAAATTCTGTTATGAATAACCACTCCACAAGCTGTCTATTTCATACATTTAAGTTTTCTTTTATTGTGGTTGCTGAAAATTATGATGAAACTATATTCAATTACTACATTTGTGGTAAGAACTTCTTGTTTATTGGCCCAAAGCTATACTACAAGCACAAAAGAATATATACAAGAAGATTTGTGAATGATTTGTTAGAAATTAGTAGGAATAAAGACATTCTATTTGGAAACATAAATGGGGTATGGATCTTTGTAATTTCTTAGGAGTCATGCCAGAACAAGCAATGGCCTGACTGAGTCCTGGACATGTGAGAAAGAGACAGACATAGATTAAAGAGCAGTGAACGCTGAATTTTTTTTTATCTGATTCTAACATAATCGATTACCCTTGATCAGCACAACTGCTTCTCCTCACAAGTTTCCATGGGACATTAATAAAACGTTTTAACTTCTGAGAATAGCTTGCTCCCTTTCTGAACGATGGAGCTGAAAACTGCTGATGAGAGGAGAATAAACCTTTGGAAGGGAGATTTTCCAAAATACAAACACTGTAGCACTTCTGAAACAGGGTGCAGAGCAAGGGGTCCCCAAAGTCCCCACAGCCCATGGTTGGGAGATAAGGAGAGAAAGAGGGGACCATACAGTGTTTAAGATACTTTGCATTACAGTGGCAAGTGGGCAGCCCTTATCTTTCCTGAAGGAAAGCTGGTGCTACCACCCCAGGCGAAAGGTGACTCTGAGAGCGTTCAGTGACACGTGACAGAGCCAGGGGAGATGAAAGGCCTCCCTGGAAGCCCCTGTGTCACAGGAACTCTTGCCCTGGCTAAAGACGGCAGCTGAGAGAAGGTAGAAGATACGGAAAACTGGCAAATGGAGCTTAGTAGGAGGGGCTGGAATAAGGTCATATGGGAAGCTCCAGGTCATAATTTAAAATAAGGGCAGGCAGAGAGAGAGGAGGGCTGGTCCACCATGAGGGCTGAGAGAGGAGGGGGCAGCCATATCACTCTGTAGTGAAGTGGGCAGCCATGTGAGAGAGATTCAGCCATGTTGCCTATAGTGAGGGGGGAGCTGTGTCTGCTTCTCTGAACAGAGAGCCGTGAGGAAGGAGCCACGAGGTATTTGGCCATGAGGTTAGAGAGAGAAAGCAGCAAGCAGCTATGCAGTTTGTAGTCAGGTTTCCACCGTGCAGTCTGGTGTAGTAAGGAAGGAGCTGGAGTAAGGAAGAGGAGACCTGTTGGGAAACCTGCCTGGAGAACAGGGCGGCACGGCTGATGGTGCTGGGAATTGCAAGGACCTGCCCAACAAAACATGGATTCGTGGGGGAAGCCCGGAGTGCTGAACTGTGGCTGGGAACGCTGAGACTGTAGACTTCTACTTCTCTGAAGGATGCGTGGAGAAGCCACTGTCTTAGGATGTGTGCCTTCCTGGACTTCACCATGATCCTGTGTAACGCAGCACATGTTTTCCTGAAGCAATACATGGAGGCTGACAACAGCGCACCCCAGATCCTGAAGGGGTGAGCTGCTGTGAGAGGATGGGAACTCTGAAACCCACAAGCGTACTTCCCAGAGGAGATGGAGATCTGTTTGTGCAGCTGGCTTAAGAACAGATAAGGAGATGGGGAACTACTGGGCTTGTTTTTGGCTTATAGCCTGAAGAGGAGCAAGGGCAGTGCTGGCTCTTGTGCGAGAGCAGGGCTCTGAGCTGAAGGGGTTCCAGTCTCACTGAGGTTGGGACTGTGTAAATAAAAACCTGTTTTCCTTAACACTAGTTGTTAGGTCATGTGCCAGGGCTCCAAGTGGACAGGGTCCTGCTTTTCTCAGTTACAGTCCCTCTTATCCATGGTTTCACTGTCTGTGGTTTCGGTTACCTGTGATCAACTCTGGTCTGAAAATATTAAAGAGAAAATTTCAGAAATAAACAATTGATAAGCTGTTCTGAGTAGTGTGATTAAGTCTCTCACCTTTCTGCTGCGTCTCTCCTGGGATGGGAATCATCCCTATGTCCACTGCATCCACGTTGTAGCTTGTCCCTGCCCAGTAGTCACTTAGTTGCCTCCTCAGTTAGCAGATTGAACATTGTGATATCTCGATGTTCAAGTAACCCTATTCCACTTTAATAATGGCCCCAAAGCCCAGGACTAGAAATGTTGGGGATTCAGATAAGCCAAAGAAAAGCTATAAAGTACTTCCTCTAAGTGAAAAGGTGTGTATGTAGAGGAAAAAGCATAGTGTATACATAGGGTTTGGTTCTGTCCTTGGTTTCAGGCATCCACTAGGGGTCTTGGAAAGTATCCCCCCGAGGATAAGGGTGATGTATTGCTTATTTCTCACAATCTCTCTCACTCTCCAGCAAGAGTGTACAGTCCTGTTTGAAAAACTCAGATTAGCACAGCATCACTGTTAAGACCCTTCTCCAACAGAAGACTTATTTACGTGCCAGATGCTGGGGAACATTTTGAATCGTCATATTTCCATTTTGTCTTCACATACAAAAACTCTCAATGTTCTGGAGGTTGTTTCTTGTTAAACAAGACTAGTTAAACTCTGGATGCGGTTCTCTAACTCATGCATTTCTACCCAACTCCAGAGCCTTGTCACTGCCACGTGCTGCGGTGTGACAGCATTTTACTTCTATGGCTTCAGATGCTCTCTGCTACCAGCGAACAATTAGGGAACTTCAAGTAACATAAGATGATATTTATATCCCAAAGCATGAAATGCTTCCATTTAATTATGCATTTGTTGGAAGGCCATCTTGTACACATGGCTATTATTCAGAAGCTATACAAATCAGTTCAGTATTTTATATTATTTCTCAACATTTTTATTAAGCACCTCATCTTCTAAAAATTTGTCATACTGGTGCCCACTCTTGAAAAAAAATTAGGGGGTTTTTCTATGCTTGAATTTTGCTTATTCATCAAGAAATAATTTTAGGAGAGACTAGTGTTTGACAACACCCCAATAATGCCATAACCTATATATCAATGACATCACTCAAGTTCACCTTTTAAGGTAGAGACGCTTCTCTCTGAAAAGACTGAAAGCGGTGTCATGACTCACCACCAAGGACCCAACAGAAACTGCACTGTGCGCTTTGTGCCTTCTAGGCTGAATGATAAAAGCCCTTTATCTCTGAGATTTTACTTGTACTCAGGCAGTGGACTCCCCGTGTAAAACAAACTTGGTAGAGTGTGTTGGGAGGAATTGGAAACCAATAAGAAAATTAGTTTTTTTTAATACCTAGGATTTCAAAATGTTTATGGATGTAAGATGTTTCTCTCTGTTATTATACTAAAGAATTGCTACCCCTTCTGATGAAAAGATTATGAGAAATAGTCTCAAAGATCTCAGTGCTAAATTTTCACCAAAAAAAAAAATGCAACAGAAAACAGCATTAGAAAGAGCATTAAATGTTTTATTAGGCTAAATGTTTGATTCTCCCAAGATTTTTTTTTTTAAGGCCGAGCACTCAAAGAAATGTTTAAAGTAACATTAGACATAATAGGATGTTAAGACATGCTCCTCCCCGCCACCCCGCATGCACACACACAATTGGCCGGAGCCCTCAACTTAATCAAAATAGTCTCACAGTGACATGTTTTCAGAGAATGGGGTAGAGGATAAGGACGGGAGGTCAACTTCAGTATTTTGTGAAAAACATCCCCAAATGTCAGGTGTTTTATTGAAGCCAGTACGTACTGTTCTCCTATTGCTATGCTTCTAGAAGTTGAAAGTTACTATAAAGAATGGTGATCATGAGTCCTTACAAAATAATTTATCAGAAAAAAGAGCGATCTAATATCTTTATTATAATGAAATACACCATAACATCCTGAAGTCATTTTTCAGACAAGCACTGTTTGAAAGCATTTTTTTTAGATTAACCAAAATTTACTCAGGAAAAAAGCATCTTTCATTCCCCTAACTGTGAGGATATCTCTTTAAGAGGCTGTATATTTTTTGCAGGGAGCACAGTGGGAATGGTAAGGGTGGTGGTATTGTTTCAGCATCCCCCCACATGTATTCTTAATTGCATTCCTCTGACATTTAAAAATGAGTATATCTTCTCAATGTATGTAGATATATTTATTTACTAATTGTATATAGACATTATTATTCTAATAAAGCTTGCATATAAAACTTACATAGTCTTAAAAAATAAAATATGGAAACAACTATTCTCAGACTTCTTGGCTTTATCCCAGGGGGTTGTTTTGTGTGATTGCTGGTGTGTCCACATGTCCCCTCCCCGCACTGAGCGCACCGCTGGTGTAAGCAGGACAAGCACAGGCCGTCCTTGTGTTCCCTGATTAGCAACTCTCTTATTGAATTTGATTTTTAGGAACAAGGTTAAGAAATACTTGAAAAAATATCACCACATTTATTCATCAATGCCATTTCTAGAGAGATTGTGAGCAATGGTAAAAAAGAACTTCCCTAGTGTCTAAGCTGTTTGTCCTATCGTGATGCATTCTGCTTGGAACAGAGTTAGACCAGCCAGTGGGAGAAGCCAGCCAGTAAGATGGACTTAAGGCTGTACAAGACTTTAACACAAGTTTAGTAAAAAGAATTTACTGGCTAAAAGTAGCATAATGTGTAGAATTTCTCAATTATTTACTTTAAAAGGCATTTTAGTTAGTTATATATAATAATGAGTTTAAAATGTATATACTTTGGGTTATATAAGATCATAATATTTTCACAACATATTCATTTAGATATTTCATAAAATACAAACAACCAAATGGCACATTTACATAGTCATAAAAACATTTATATTAGCTAAATGTTTAAGCAAAATAATAAGACATAAATACTTTTAAACTTTGGTTATTTTATTTATAAACCAAGAAATAGATTTTTTTCTTCTGATCCTGGACTAGTTCCACCTTTGTCAGCCCCACCCTTGTTTCAAGATTTCTAATTCCATTTCTTTGTCAAATATTTCGAAATCCAGTCTCACTACGGTCCTAACTAGTCCCTTCCTTCCAATCCACATGCTGCACGTTGGTGTCACTTTCATCATCGGTTTGTAAATGGCAGCCCTAACAAGAGCTCAGATCTGTCTGAATTCAAGTCCATGCGCCGCTCCTGTCCTGCATCTTGTGCGTTGTAATAACTAGACAGAGTCCCCAAAGGACTGGGGGGGTATTGCAGCATCTAGTACAAAATGGGAAATCACAAATGTTTGGTAATTTGAATCAATAAATGCAAAACAACTACTTCGAATATGTGTATTCAAGTTATATATGAACCTATAATTTAAAAAGTAATTCAAAGCCTTTTAAAATTCATATTGCCCTTTAGATATATTTTTAAGGAAAAGAATATGGAAAGGAATATGGGGAGAAACCAGTGGACTACAATAATGTACTATTCTAAAGAAAAGTATTAGAAAATAAGACAGTACAATTTAGGTAGAAATATACTGAAAAGGAAATAAATTCATTACTCAAGGTTGATTTTATTATCTACACCTAAAATTTTTGTTCTTCTTCGACTGGTTCTTATTCACAGTAGATGGTTAATGATGTACATTAAAAATATAGAAGGATTCCACAAAGGAAATTCACCGCCACATTGTAGTATTTTCATGCCTTTCTCAAGAATTCTAGGACGTCAGAATAGGCCATTGGAAATCCTGTTTTCTCCAGATCCTGAGAATGCTGGTGGAGGGGATTGCAGGATACTAGCAGATGCCTGAGAGAGTCAGGAGATTGCCTCCTGAAACAGAAGAAAGTCAGCATGGAAGATGAATCTGGCCTTGGGAGTCTGCCCAGCCTGGTTAGAAAAGGGCCCTCATGAGAGTGACTCACTGGGGTGGGGGTGGGGGGGCGGTTCCCAGCATCTTCCAGGGAAGCTCTTGGGAAATTGTTCTATATTTCCTGTAGAGAAGCTTTTAAATCTGAATAAGTAAGGTTATTCTTTGGGGCCCAAAATAGCTGTATCATCATTTAAAATGAATTCAAGTTTGCCCTGGCTAGTGTGGCTCAGTGGATTGAGTGCCAGCCTGTGAATCAAAGGGTCCCTGGTTCAATTCCCAGTCAGGGCACATGCCTGGGATGTGGGCCAGGTCCCCAGTAGGGGGCACATGAGAGGCAACCACACATTGATGTTTCTCTCCCTTTCTCACTCCCTTCCTTTCTCTCTAAAAATAATTAAATAAAATCTTTAAAAAAATAATTCGAGTATGTGAAAATCAAATACTTTTTTAAAATAAAATAAAATCAATTCAAATTTTTCTAAAAGAAATTTAAAAAACAATTCTTTAACAATTTCTTAAAAGCCACAAAGCTCCACAGGTTAGGGAATAAAATCAAAAAAGGACATTCTGGCAATAAAATCGTGAATGAATCTGATATAGAAGATTACTCTTGAAATATCACCTGGCATATTTTCTTTCCTCAACAATTTACCTTTACCCTCTGTAGTCCTTCTGTCAAGAGGAGCTGGTCACAATAGGAGGCACACGGCCTCTGGGAAAAGAAGACAAGAGCCTCGACAGAAAAAGTCATCGCTCTGCCCGGAGTCCCAGATTTGGCTTTTAAGAATTCATAAGGAGACAAGAGTCTCAAAACACAGCTTTTACAAGAGAATAAAGGATTTCTATCATCATCCTTGAAGTCTGGACTTCTTTGTAGAACCAAAGCTTGAAGAGTGTATCTTCAAAAGTGAACATACAGCAGAAACAATAAGAATGTGGTACAGAAAATTCTTGCAACACTGAGGGCTGAAAGCAAGAGAGAGTGGCTTTCTCCACCCCATACCTAGAAATGAGTTTCACTACCTAGATGTGAGTTTCTGAGGAGGACACATAAACAGAAACACCCAGATATGGTTAGGAAAATGCCAGGTCATAAGGCTGTTGCTGACACCCTCATATACAGGCTGGAAACACGTCCAATGCCTCTCAGAGAAAAAAGCCATGGTTAAAGTAGCACAGACTTTAGGCTAGAGGAGCGGAAGAGTCACAGTCACTGAGGGAGGGGCCTAGGTTGGTGGGCCTGAGGGCAGTCTCTCCGGGTCCTGCACAGTCCAGCTTAGTACAGAGAAAGTAAGTGATTGAGAGACCCTGGGCCCATGCAAGAAGATAGGTGGATAGAGAAGAGACAATGATAGTATGGATAAAGAAGGCCTCATTTCTGGAATAAGGAGTTCAGAATAGGAGTCAGGAGAAAGGTCATGGTTATCAGCAATAGGTGCCAGCATGATGACCCAAAGCTGCAGGTAAGACCAACTGAACCTCAGTCAATGCTAGCAAAGACACCCAGAAATGAGAAGACTAAACTGTACCATAGAGAATGCAATGAGATTGAACACCAGGGCCCAGAGTCCAAGTACATTAAGAAATTTCAAATGATGTCAAACATAGGCTATAGAAGAACAGACACTCCTTCCTAATGACATATATGAAAGTCTTCCTCATGGCCAGAGGCCATTTTGGGAAGTGGGAGAAGACAGAAGAGGGAAAATCCCTGAGGGAATAAACAACTATCCAGAAGATACCATTACATACCTCGAAAAGACTGATGACATCATTTGCAAGGCAAACTGTTTTCTGTCTCTGTATTAGTTTCCTAGGGATGCTGTAACAGAGCACAACCAACCAGGTGGCGCAAAATAACATTCTCCCACGGTTCTGGGGGCTACAAGTCTGACATCAGGGTGTCGGTAGTGCCATGCTCTCTCTGAAGGCTCTGTGGGAAAATCTGTTCTATGCCTTGCTCTTAGCTTCTGGGCTTACTTACCAGTTGTCCTTGGAATTTCTTGAGAAGAGTATGCAAATACTGTGTGGCAGTGAATTTCCTCTATAGGATTCTTCTGCTTCATTAACCCACTTCTTCATTAATCTACTGTGAATTGAAGAAAGTCAAAGAAGAGCAAAAATTTTAGATGTAAAATATAAAATAAGCTTGTTTTTGTCAAGTAATACATTTATTTTCTTTTCAGTATTTTCCACTGAAATTGTATTCTATTATTTTTGATATTTTTCTTTAGAATGGGACATTATTGTAGTCTACTGGTTTTCTCCCCCTATTCTTTTCCATAAAGGAATAACAAAAAAATACTTAAAGAACAATATAAATTTCATGACCAATGAAATGACATTAAATTCTATGAGTATATATAATTTGAAGACAAATATTCAAAGTAACTGTTTTTCATTTGTCAACTCAAATTAGCAATCTTTTTGATTCCATATTTTGTGCAAGGTGCTAACCTAGGTGTGACAATACCATGCCAGTCCTTTGGGGACCCCAATACAGCCATTACATTTCATAGGTACCAGACATTGTACCTGTTGTGCTTAATATTTTTTGAGGGGACATAATTCAACCCACAATAGATCCCAGTGAAAACGTGGGTTTAAGAGCTAGTTCAGCTCATTTACATGATAATTTTTATTAGCATCATTTTTTCCTGCTGATTATAGTGTGTACTGTACATTCTGAGCCCTCTCTGGCAGGGCCGACAAACCACAGACTACGTGTGAATTACATCCAACCACTTTTTTGGTTTTACCAAGGCACATGCATCAGCTATAAATGATTTTAAAAATATTTTTAAATGGTCTAGAATCAGTCAAAGAAGAATATTTTATAACATGTAAGATGTATGTAACCCCCCAGACAGGTATCCACATATGTTGGTGTATCAGAACACAGTGACAGTCATTTGCGTGTGTGTTTCTAGGCCTGCTGCTGTGCTACGGCGGCAGAGTAGATACAGTGGAGATGGCAGGCCTACGAAGCCCCAAGTTTTTACCATCTGTCTCTTTACAGAATCAGTTTGCCAATCTCTGATCTATGGTGATGAGGGCAAAAGGGGGAGAAATATAAAGTGATGAATATGAATGAATGGATAAATCTTCAGAGAGTTCACCTTTAAAAGACTTGAAAAAAACGAAGACAGAAATATGAGGGGAAAGCTCATGAAGAAGGAGGAGAAAGAGGAGGAGGAGAAGAAATATTTGGCAAGTAGCAAGGGTTATATAGAAATGATGTGAGAAAAATAACTTATTTGTGAGTAAGAAAACACGAATGGTGTGTGAGGCCACCATTTGGGGTGAATGGCACAATGCTGCTGAATTACTTTGAAATAACTTTAACATTACTAACTCTTTAACTATATATCTTTCCATCTTTTCTGTGAAGATTTATCATTACTTGGAATGAACAAAATGAATAGTAATAAAAAGAAAAGATCAAGAGAGTAAATTAGTAAAAACATATGTATCTGCCCTAGTTCATTTCCAGGCCTAGGTGAACAATAATATCTCAGGTTACCAAAAGGATACCATCACCTCAATCTATCAAAAAGCTGTTGGCTATTAATTACTAAGTGGCTGCTGATAATCTTCAGAAGTTTGGAGGAAACTGAAAAGGTGCTTGAAATAAAGTTAGTAAAAGTTAGTAATACAGAGTTAGTAAAATAAAGCTTCAAATAAAAAAAAATACTGCAAACTGCACAACTGAGAACTTGCTATGACTACGAGTAAGGCTCTGAAATGAATGGTTGAGTCTTTAGGAACTGGGAAAGGAAACTTGTGATCAGGTTTACTAAAAAATCCTGCCAGGTAAACCTCATAATATTTTGATGGATTATAACATATCTTGATTTTAGAAACTCCTTTGACAGCTTCTCTCATAATAGTCTTTATAGAAGATTTGGAAGAAATGATGTTTGCAGATTAAGAAGTATAATCAGTGCAGTTATGTGGATTTGTAACTGGAGTACTTGATTAATGATACTCTCCAAAGGGCTAATTAATGAGTTAAAACCAAGTCATGAAGAATTTTCTAGGGGTATATTACTGTCTTATTCCCTCTCTTTTTTTATACAAATAATTTAGTTAAGAATATCACTGACACGATGCCTAAATTTGCAGAAACTCATCAACGGTAAGGGGTAGCTAGCATGTCTCATGGTAAAATCAAGATTCAAAAATATCTTCAGATACTGAAGCAAAATTCTGCAAATAGATGCCCCCTTGAAAAGAAAAGCAAAACATGAGCAACAAAACCCAAGCCAACAACAAGAAGAAGATGAAAACAGAACAAAACAAAATGTGGTTCTCAATGCTAGTTACACAGTCGAATTACCTGGGGAGATTTTTATTTAATTGTTCTGGGTGCAGCCTGGGCATCAGTACTTTTTGGAGGCATCCCAGTGGATTCTAAGCTCAGCTGGAGCTGAAAATCACTTGCAGTGCACTAACAAAGAACTTAGAGGAGGGGATGGTAAGTGGAACAACCAGCCCGGTGTAATAATGGAAATGTTTAGAAGATTCTGTGGACCAAAAGATCAATGAAGCAACAGCGAGATGTGACAGCTGAAAAAGCTAAAGTGATCTTAAATTGTAAATATTGAACTGATAATTAGGAAATGGTAAAAGTAGCTCCCATTTGTCAGGCAATTACTCTTGTATCAGGCACAGTAAAAAGGATTTTTCATGCATTATACAGTTTAATCCTCACCTTAAGTCTATGAGATAGATGTTATTATCCCAAAATTGTGGTGGAGAACACTGAAGCTTAGTAAGGTTAACCAATTTCCCTAAATGGCTTAGATATAGTGGCGCAAGAGTATGCTGAATTACTCTCTGAGCAATGAATTGAAGAAGGCCTAGAGAGACTCACTGTATTGGGACTGTATTAGAAAGGAAAAATGTAAGTGATATTTTAATAAAGAATTGTGTTGAAATGAATATAGATAATGAAGGAAAGGCAAAATTCAAGTATTTTCCCAAGATCTCTAGTACTTATGGAAAGAAATGCAAATAGGGCAGAGGATTAAGTTTTTGGAGAAAAATAATTTTGGTTTTTAATAATAGTAGGTAATCTTTTTAAAGTACCTCGTACTGAGTATTTTAAATTCATCTCACTTAAGCCTCATTTAATTCAAGGGATTATCAGTATCATTTTTGTTTTAGAGCAGTTGCCCAATACAGAATAGGGGGTACAGTGGGCATCTGAACCCAGCTCTCTGTGAGTAGGAGCCTGCGCTCTGAATCACCAGGCTACACATGATCACATACTGAGTTTAGGTGACGGCACAGCGGTGCAGTAACTAAGCAGAAACATGCCAGTGCAGCTGGAAATATGGGAGTACAGCACAAGCAAAACAATTTTATATGCTCACGTAATTATTTATAACTATGCCTACTAATTAATTTTAAATGGAGTGTTAGCACATAGACACTTTTATGTGTTCTAAATATATCACTAGCTCCTAAAAATTGCTATCAAGACTGTAGACATATATGAGAAATATATACTCTCTTTTACACAATTCCTGGTTCCTCCTTTCTAGTTACTATCTCTTGCTTTCCAACAATGAGAGTTCTGAGTTATTCTTTTTATGCCTTAAATCAAGTCCTCTCTTTTGGAGAAAATCCATGAAAGAAAACTGAAAGTTACTTTGACTCTTGTATTTTAACTAAATGTACTTGGTTTTGACTAATTGTAGTCTTAGAATTATTATTTTGGCATCTTTACTGAGGTGTAATTGATATTTGATAAAGAACACATTTAAAGTGTTCACAGTCATGGATTGTAACATATGTATACACCTGCAAAACCATTACAATTACAATTATGACTATTTCCATCAATTCCAAAACTGTCTGGGGGCCTGCATAACCTGTCCCTCTCTCCACCCTCATCCTTCTGCAACCACTCATCTGCTTTGTGTCTCTACAGATTAATTGGCAATTTCTAAAATTATGTATCAACAGACTCACAGATTTTGTATTTTTCCTTTTCTTTTCACTTATATAATGATCTTTACATTCATTCATGCTGGGGTGTATATCTATGATTCTATCCTCTTTACCTTGGGAAGTATTCCATTGTATGGATACATCACAATTTGTTTAACTGCTCACCTGTTAGTGGACTCTTGGGTTGTTTCCAATTTGGTACTACTACAGATAAATCCAGTATGAACATTTATGATCTTTGCCTTTGTATAAATATATGCTTTCATTTCTTTGGGGTAGATACCTAGAACTGGAATAGCTGGGGTATGTGGTAGATGTCTGTTCAGCTTTTTTGGACTGTTTTCTACCAGCAACGTAAGTGAATTCCAGTTGTTCCACACCCTCGTCAACACCTACTGTGATCAGCCCTTCTGACTTTAATTCTTCCAGTAAATCTGTAGTGTCGTCTCATTGTGCTTTAGTTTGTCTTTCCCTGATACTGACGATACTGAACACCTTTTCGTGCGTTGGCCATCCTGGAGCTTCTTTTGCGAAGTGTTTGGTCAAATCTTCTACCCATTTTAGAGTAAGAAATTCTGCCTTATTATTGAGTTTTATGAGTTCTGAATACAATTTCTTTGTCAAATACATGTTCTGCAAGTATTTTCTCCCATTTTAAGCCTTGGTTGTACTGTTAAAAGTTATAGTTTGCTCCAATCAGTAAATATTTTCTGCTAAACCAATTCTACATTATGACACATTTTAATTGTTAATGCCTACATCTATTATAATAAAGTGCTCACAATTGTTAGGAATTAATGCAAATTTTTATTGTATAAACCATAAAATACAAAGAAAGTTTACTTAATTTTTTTACTTAGATTACATAGAAATGTTTGTATTATTAAGGTGATATAAGTACAGTACGAACATATTTCATATAACAGGCAATTTTTTTAGAATGTTTTTACTGCTTCACCTATTAGTATAAGTAACAACAATGCACTGATTGCATAGCATGAACACCCATTGCTGAAAGTGTCTCTGCACCATTTTATTAAATTTATTTTTACTAAAATTACTATCTTTCCTGCCTTATTTTACTGTATTTTTTAAAATCTCTGATCTTGAAAAAAATCCCTGATTCTATGGGCTCAAGTCTTTAACTACTCTTTCACACCTTTTCTCACAAATGAAAACTTGCACCTGGTAGCAAGCAGATACCCTTTTAAATGATGGGACAAGATATCATCAGCACAACATCTGTATTTAAAGCAAAATGCAGCATCTGCTGAATGCTGGTACTTTCTTCCTCATCCTTCTGATAACCAGTTTTTACACTTATAAAGTTATATTTTTAGTTGCCTGAAAATCCTGGACAATGATCTTATAAATTTATATCAGAAAATGTTATTATTTTTAAATGCCAGGTGACGGTTAATATTTGATATGTAAAAAATATTAAATGCCAAATATTTGTCATTTGTCAAAAGCAAGAATGCAATGGCAGATATTCTAAAGGCAATATCTTGCGACATAAATAATCTTTGTAATTTTCTCTAATATGCTGCAAATGTGTTTCTAACTCTAAAAGAAAAATCCCTTCATAGAATAACAATAAAGTTTGATTTAGAGTGCCACTAAAAATTAACAAACAGCTTCTAGCAGTTGCTTAGAAGAGAGTAGATCATTGGAAAAACTCTAGCTATTGCACTGTTTCCAATCAGTTGGAAATAAATCTTAAGATTAGTCACATGCAGCATTTACTTCCTTTTGCATCAAAGTTGAATTCAGTATTGACAAATGATCTGTAATAGGAAGCATTTTGTGTCTGTTTATTTGCGCACAAAGCTGTCTACTGAGACACAAATCACAACTGTCCGCTTCCTCCTCTATTAACATATCAATTCAACAAAGAATTATATTTCAGAAAGAATGACTACTTGAATAAATACAGCCCTATTTTCTTTAACTCAATTGACAACAAATATATGAATTAAGCAAAGTCCACATTTACCTGGCAGAAGACTGTTTTAAAATAAATGTCAAATAAACTCATTTGCTATCAAGTCTACTTCTTCCCCTCACCCACTGAAAATTCAATTCAGAAAAAAATAACCAATGGAATAATGATATCCAAATTATGTTTCATGGTATTGTACTGTGATCTTTTGAGATGGTAGTAGAACTTTAGAAAGTTTCAAATGTGTCAAGTAGCTGTACAGGAAAGGAGGCGGAAACAAAACAAAATTCAGTTCTTAGGGATTCTGTATATTCTTCTTCAGGACTCACAAGACATTATTAGCATAGGAAATGTTCTGAGATGTTCTGCAGTTAAGAAAAACTGTTTTGCCCTGGCCGGGTAGCTCAGCTGGTTAGAGCGTTGTCCTGAAACACCAAGGTGGCAGGTTCCATCTACAGTCAGGGCACATGCAACAACCAAGCAATGGATGCATAGATGGGTGGAAAAACAAATCTGTGTTATTCTCTCTCTCTCCCTTCCCCTCTATCTCTAAAGAAATGGGGAGAAGTGGCAGGACAAAGGTATTGCAGCGCAGGGGCCTGCACACCCTTTATTTGGTGTGGCAGAGGTGCATGAATTTCCAGCTGGCCAACAAAACACTCCCTCTGAAATAACATGGGCTTGAGCCTTTTTGAAGCACCTCATCAACGAGTACTACTTGCCACCTAGAGGGCTAAGGAGAGCTCAGACACGCTAGGTCATGGAAGTGTGCAGAGGAAAGGCCTCTGAAGGACATCTTAAATAAGTCGCAACCATGACCCTAACAAGAGAATATGTGGGTGTCTGCTAGATACCACCTACAGTCAGGAGAGAAGTACAACAATAACAACTGAATAAAGAAAACTTGCTTTTAAACTCTGGTTTCTCTTCAGATCGTATAAATCTTTCATCTTTTAAGAAGGAAAATTTGCTTCTTTCCCCTCAGCTTCTCTTTTGCCATCCTCCTTAGCTGTATGAGATGTAGTACCACTAGTGGTATCAGGATGGACAGTGGACTAAACTGGATTGGACTTCTAAGTCTTCAAAGGGAAAGCTGTGGGGTCTGTGCAACATGCCATTATGGGTCATGGAAGATATCTGACAGGGTATCTTTGAAAAACAAAACAAAGTAACATTTTATGCTGGTACCCCAACAACTTTGTATAATTCAATAAATCAGTGCTGTACTGTTTCATTGTTCCCCCTTGATTGATATTTACCTCTAAATATCAAATATTTAATTCACCTCAGCCTTACCATATTTAAACATTTTAAAGACAATGTCAGGATTGATTCCTCATTACAAAGATGAAATATAAATATAAATTTATTTTAATTCTATACTTATGGTAAGCAATTTTCTCAATTTTGCCTAAAAAACAAAGAATTAATATAAAATTTGAGATTCGGTCAATATGAATGTTCTTCAAGATTAAGGAACATATCTTGCCTATCTTTGCATCCCCAGTATGTAGTACCTGGCATAGTACAGACACAAAATACATATTTGTGAATTAAGCTGAAGTATTGGTTGGTATTTAAAGAAACTCCCAATCGCTCGAAGGACATTTTTTTCTTCGTATCTCAAATTCCTTGTCTCAGTTTTCCATTATGACCATTGACTAGAAAGAAACCTTGTAGAGCATAGTTTTTTCTGGGCTTATTTCCTTTTGTACTTATATTCATCTAGCATTTACAGATCCTAAAAGGAAAGCATTTTCCCACTGTTTAGTAACAAGCTAAATTCAGTGATACACAAATAAAATCTCTAAGTGGTCAAGAAGACAAAGTAAAATTAAGTATTATTGAGTGCCTCTTATGAATTTGGACCAGGCTAATTGAAAGAATCATAAGTGGTTTAAAGTTGGTGATATATGCCCTTGAGGAATTTATACTCTCATTGGAGGCTAGTTTATAAACACTACGATTGGTTCAAGATCCTTGGAAAGGGGGGTGGGGGATGGGAAAGGCATCCCAGGCAGGGAGAAGCATTCCAGCAGAGGTTTGGAATACAGGTTCCAAAGCTACTTGCTTAACCTCTCTGTGCCTCTCATACTTAACATACAGGTTAAATGAGTTAATGTAGCTCCTGACCTTTAAGTAAGTGCTTATGATGATGATGTACAAAAACTTGGAGTTAGATTTTTGAGGGACTCAACAATAAAATTGACAGGAGCAATTCCTGTATTAGAATAGTAGGGAAAAGGTCAGAAAGAAAGGCATAGTGACAGATGGAACCCACTGATGTCAAAACATTTGGATTTTGTTTGGTAATAGTCACTGAACTTTTAAAATGGGTAAGTAACACTACAAAAACAATGTTTTGGAAAACTGGCTATGTAGAATTGTTTGAGATAGGGACAAGTAAAAGACTGAGGAAATAATAAAAACAGCCAAATTCTATTAGATGCTTACTAAGACCTTTGTAAGTGTGCAATGTGCAAGATTAGTTATAAACATTATTATGTTCCAGACAATGTGCTAAGTCCCGTATTTTGCTGTATATAGTGCACACCTTTTTTACCCAAGTTTTTGAGCGAAAAATAAGGATGTTCGTTACATATGGGTAGTACCTGAAAAACTTTGCATCTGTTCATGTGTTTTGTAATTATTTGTTACATAAAATTTGTTGTACCATAATATGTTTAAAAATAAATACTTAAATCCCTTTACAATACAAAAAACAAGCAACTAAATATAAATAAAAAATTAAATTTAAAAATTAAAACAAAATTTTTTTCTGAAAGTTTGGGCCAAAAATGTGATTGTGCATTATACACAGCAGAATATGGTATTTTATCATGTTGCGAACTGAATTACGTTCCCCCCCAAATTCACAAGTTGAAGCCCTAACTTCCAATGTGAAAGTATTTGAAGATAGGGCCTTTAAAGTGGTAATTGAGGTTAAATGAGAACACAAGGTTACATGAGGTTAAAGGGGGGCGGCAGTTAATCCAATAGGACTGGTTTCCTTATACAAAGCAAGATACTAGAGGTGAGAACACATAGAGTAAAGACTGTGTGAGGACACAACGAGAGGGCTGTCACCTGCAAGCCAAGGCCTTAGGTGAAATCAACTTTGCAGACATATTGATCGCTGGACTTCCAGCGTCCAGACTGTGAAAAAATACATGCTGTTGTCTAAGCCACTCCATCGGTGGTATTTTGTTATGGTGGCCCAGGAAGACCAAGCTCATTTGACTCTCTCATTTTTTAGAGATAGAAGAAAGCTGGAGGGAGAGAGAGGAAGAGAAACAATGATGTGAGAGGGAACCAGTGATTGGTTGCCTCTGAGTATGCACTCCTACCAGGATCAAATCTGCCACATTTTGGTGTACAAGATGGCGCTCCAAACCATTGAAGGACTTAGCCAGGTCAGCTCTTTTGACTCTTAAAACAGCCTCATGGGGTGATACTCTGTTAACCAGATCATCTGGTAACCAGGAAGAAACTCAGGCTCGGGGAGCTAAATTGCCTAAGACGGCTAGGAAGAGGCAGTAAACAAGATTTATACTTAAGCTGTCTAACTACAAATATTATAGTTCAGTTGGAAACTGACAGATGAAAGGATTTACACGGTTTGGATGCAGGCTAAAAGAAAGGGTTATCCACCAGATGGCAGATTTTAAGCCTTGGGGTCCACACAATATAAATGACTGCATTATTTGTGTGTGATGTGTATGTGTATAGTTTATATTAACTATTGTGGAAAGGTTCAGAGCAGAAAGGAATTTATTGTGGCTGAAGATCTCAGAAAACCTCACGATGGATGATAGGTAAAATGAAGGCAGAGATGTGGTACTACTGGGGAGAAAAACAGTATTAAAGTAAAAGGATATATGGAGGTACACAAGAATAATGAGGGAAATTTTGGGTATGGATTAAGAGGTCAGATCCCAGTCATCTGTTTTAACTGGTATTGCCTATAACGACACCTTGCTTTTAGAAGACATTGAACAATGTTTGATGGCTAAAGAAGGATAAAGTCAAATTTAATATTTGGAAGAAAGTAGTTAAAGGTTTTTTTCTTTTTTATAATAGGAGCAGTAATAGATTGAGATTGAATTTTCCTCTTGTCTTGACTGAGATTTCTTTTTTCTTTTAGAAAAATGCCCGAAGCTAGCGCCAACTAAGCAGATTAAAAAAAAAAAAAGCATGGATACTAAAACGAGCAATTTAATATCTAATCGATGATTGCTGTCTATGTGTATGTCTCTGGGCAGAATAAAACACACTGCCGTTGGATAATCGAGTCCACAGACACTGACACCAAAGAGTACTCATTTAGCTATTCTGAATAAAACAAGCAGGCCCTGAATATAATCATCAGTAGTTGGCTCATTAATCTTATCATGGTCCCTTTTTTTGAGGCGGTCCCTCCTCACCCTGGCTCTTCGACGTGCGGAGGGAATGTGCCCAGCAGAGGAACAGCTGCTTTTAGAGAGGGCTCTACCATCACTATCAAGGATTACTGTTAGAAAGTCGCTACTAGGCCTTTGCCAAGGACAACTGATCCGCAATGCGCCTGCCCAAACCGCAGCAATCTAGCTCCGCATACATCCCACAGCAGCAAAAGCTGAGAAAACCCCTACCAGCTGCAAAAACCCGGTGCGCTGTGATCTAAAGCTTCTTTCCATCGTAGCTGCCTTACCAGACTGCAAATCCCAGAATTCATTCCTCCAAGGGAGCCAATAAAAGTTCCTTCGGTCAATCACGCCCTAATCTACTGTAACCAACCTCCAACTGAATTCTGGGATTTGTGGTTTTCACGTGGCAACATTATACCATCGCGGTTAAGGCAATGTAGGCCACGCATTTCCTTCGAAAGATCCTTTTAGTATTCTTCTGTTGGTTTCCAGTTTAACCCCTTATTAGCACTACTCCCCGTCCTTATACTCCTTAAAAGCTGTAAATGATGTCTCTATCATACAGAAAAAAAGTACCAAATTATTTCTAGGTTGGGCACCGTTGCCCACTCGCTCCCCCACGCTTTAACCGTCGCTTTTGAGTCTCGCGAGAAGAGCCCTTTTCGGTCGTGGTCTTTCCTCCTGAAAGGCGGTCCAAGTGAAGACTGACACAAGCCTCAGCCAACAGGATTACCTTTTAAGTAGCGTCTCTACGGCGTGCGCTGGAGACCTCCGTGAACTCTGACCTCAGCTTTTCTTGGCGTCCCGCGTATACTGCCTCCTCCCCTGGAGCGAAGGAGGCGGGTTTTGGCCTCTATTCCTAGGGAGAGAGTGCGGAGGGAGTGGGAGCAAGACGAGCTGCACTGGAAGTGTCTGGCTCCTGGGAGAGGCCCTGCTATACTCCTTGCTTCCCATGAGCTCGTTCTCCGGCGAGCACCGCCGTCGTTAGGCCTCGTAGCCTCTGCTTTCCCCGAGCCAGGCCCACGCTTCGTCGGGGAGGGGGCAACCCGTCGAGGCGCCTCTGTAGTCGGCGTCGTGCTGCGACCCTGGAAGCGGCACCGTCGCGAGTGAGAGGAACAGCAGCGGCAGCGGGCAGCGGCTTCGGCGCCGGCGGGCGGGATCGAGGCCGTCAACATGGCGAGCGCCTCGTACCACATTTCCAATCTGCTGGAAAAAATGACATCCAGTGACAAGGACTTCAGGTAAGGCCGAAATCCGAATCTAAACCCACCTCGGGTCCCTTGTCCGCGGCCCTGGCTCTCACACAGGCCTTGCCCCACCCCTTCGGCCGTAGCCGGTTCCTCCGCTTCCCGAAGTCCCCAGCCCACCAGTGCGATCCCAGATCTCGGCAGTCCCCTTTCCTCTCCCACCGTGTAACTCCTTGCCCCGTTCCTTTCTCTAGGTTGTTGCCCGTTGGAGGTCCTAGGCTCCTTCTGCATCCCCACCGCATTCTCTGCTACCTTTCCTCCTACTCCCCGACGTAATTTTTAGTCCCGGGTAGGGAAAACGGGCGAAATCACCCACCGTTTTGGGGAAGGAGTTGCTGTAGTCTTGGAGATCGCGAGGCCAGGCCTACCCGCCGGGGGCGCTAGGCCGCCCTGCTCTCTGGCCGAGTGGCTGCCCACTCGGGGACCTAGCCTTCTCCTCCTTTCCCACAGTTGTGAGGGCACCTAGGTGCATTCATCATGAACGATTTGCTTTTTTTGAGCTCTTCTCGGATTAGATTATAAACTTTTTCTTAGGGTTATTTCATTCGTGTAAGGGCGAAGAAGGGGGAGGGCAGCCAGGATGGAGGAAACTTGACTCGTAGGGTTTTCCCGCCAGCATCTCTGTCCTTTTCCCTTGTCAGGTAAAAACCCAAGTAGGAACTCGGGGTTTCAGTTTTATATTTTTACATCCAAAATTTACTGTCAGAAAGCTGAATTTGCTGAACCTTAAACAGAAAAGTAAACCAAGCAAATGGATCTTATCGGAAGGAGTTTTTTTTTGTAATATGGGGATGGTAAATATGTACACTTTTATTCCTGGGGACTTATATTGTCGGTTCCAAACCTTGGTAACATGCATATTGAAGACTGTTCTATTTTCACGGATTTTCTTAGTTTCTCTCTCTCTTTTTTTGTTTTGCACCACGATTACTTACATTTTTTTCTTCCCGCCTCCTATCTCAAGCTCTCGATCTTAGTGGTTGTATTTTTATGTGCATTTTGAAAGAAAGAACACACAGTCTTCTATTAAGATTGTGGCTGAAAAGCTTTTTATTTAATTACTTTGTGAACTGTACGATTTAACACCTGAGAACTTGTCCAGACCTTTCCTACCAGTAAGAAATTTTCTGATTTGTGAAGCAAGAACTGTAAAAAATGTAGAGTAGGAAAAATGTTCCTACTTAAAGTGATGTATTGGCATATTAAAATGGCCAATGAAATAGTCTAAGTTTTGTGACTTCAAAGACAAGTAATTTTTACCAAGTTTGCTACCTGGGGAATTTTTTAGTATTGCATTTGAAACTTCGTTGGTACTAAGGATTTTAGTGTTGTGACTTTCTGGAAGGGACATGTCTGTTTTGGGTATTTTAGTATTTTAGATTTGTGTAGTTCTAGGGCCAAAATTATTGGGGAAAATAAAAGTTTCAGGTGGTTTTTTAAAAGGATTAGAGTGTTCTTTACTTGTACTTGAAGCTTTGCTTGCTCCCAGCACAAGCCTTTGAAGTTTAAATAAACATTTGAACCAAACATACATATGAGTAACTAGTAGAGTGTATGGTGTGATTCCCCTCTTCCCATTTCTGTCAGTCAATTTGGCTTATTCTGTAAAAATACTGAAATTCATTTTGATTGTGATCAATTTCAGTCTAAAGATAGCACTTTCCATATAATAGTATAATTTTGTTCACTTAGACTTGTGCATGGGTAATATGTTTAGAATAAAGAAATTAAATCTTATGATATGTGATTATTGACTGAAGCTTGGCAAAAATATACACGTGGTTGGGTTTTTGTTTTTTAAACTATATGAGTATGGAAGAAATGCTGCTGTGATGTTTAAGTTGTAGCCGTTGGACTTAATCATAAGTTGGGGCTGGAATAAATCAAAACATTGCTTGGAAGATTATTCTAAAAGTATAGCATTGAAATATTTCTAATAGTTGGTGGGTATTACAGAAGATACTTTTGGGTAGAAGATACGTTTAGGAACAATAGGTGACTTCCCAGTAACTTGGCATCATTGAGAATTTTTATTTACTCTATTTCAAAGACTTGTGGTATGCCCAAGCCATCTAGTTAACAGACAAGTCTTCGGAACTAAAGCACTGTGTATGTGAAATTACAGACATTTAGAGATTAATTAAAATAGTGAGCATTTGAAGTCAAGTATTTTGAAGATTTTTCTGTATATTTTTAGTACAGGCATTTACTTGAATACACGTCTTCTATTTTAAAGTGATACTTTCTAATTTCTCATTAGAAATTTACTTGTTTATGTATTTTGATATAAATATCATATTGTTTTTTTTTTTTCTGCTACATGTTTTAAAATACCTAGTGCCAGAAGGATGTTGAGGACAAAGCTAATTAACATATAGTATCTAACATGCAAACCACTCTCTACCTAATGCCAAGGGAAGAAGAAAAAAAATACATCTAAAAGTAAGAAAAAAGACTTCTTCTCATGGTAGATTCTAAACAGAAAATCTACTAGTCTCAAGATCTGGGTTCTAGTCATGTAGGATTTTTTGTTGTGAAATATCTGTGAGATCTTGGGCAAGCTGCTTAATTTGGTGTTAAATTTTCACTGGAGAGACTTAAACATGGGTGATTACAAAAGGTCCCTTACTGGCTCGAAATTTCAGGTCTCTGGATAACTCCATTGTCTATTAATGCAAGGAAGGTAAAGAAGTGGGTGAGTGTTTCAAAGTTTTGAAAAGTCAGCATTTTGAAAGAATTGTTTGATAGGATTTAAATCACAGACTCAATTTATTGGAGGGGGGAAACGAATGCTCTTTTTCTTCCATGTTTTATATTCTGTATTCTTTGAAGGTGGGACATATTCAATTTGTTAAATTTAGTGCCAGCAGATAGGTGATTCTCTGGGTACCAGAATGAAAAGGTCAGTGTGTGTGAATCATGTGAATGCTTCACTCGTGAATTGAAGACTCAGTGGGTTGCAGTAACACAGTTCTGCTTTTACTTTTTATACCTCATCACCAACTGAAGTATTCCAAGGAATCAAGAGCTAAAGAGGAAAAAATTACCATTCTTTTATTTCTCTGTACATAATAGTTAATGGTTAGTGTGGACTTTAAAACACTTGATCCTATTTTAAGTGGTACTACCAATCTCCAGTACAGCTGAGGAAACTGAAATGGCGATGTTAAGTATTGAATACTTGTCTAATGTCAGTCTGACAGGAGATCTGGGCTTTCCAGATCCCCTCAGGGCATGAACTCTTTAACTACCACAGTGTGCTACTTCTCCAGGGTTTTTTGACTAGGGACATTAAGAGGAGGATCTTAGTTTCAGTTCCTTCGATTTACGGAATATTTTGTGCTGGAAGATGCATTTAATTCTCTAAGAGGGACTACAAAAAAAATTGAAGATCTAGTGCTTGCCCTCAGCAATGTCTACTTGCTTGTTGAATGGTTAAGACACTACTGTAAAAAGATAAGCAACCTATGCAATACATAGTTGTCCCGCTGAAGTGGCAGAGAAGATGAAAGCAAGGAGATTAATGTCTGTGGAGTATCTGAACTAGGTTCTTTAAATTTTAGGCAGAGAAGCAATGTGATAACACACTCTATAAAATGTCATTGGGGGAGAGGGAGTAGATAATCCTGATTGTAACTGGGTGAGAGTATTGTTCTGGAAACTCTTTGAGGGTAGGAACCTTGTCTTACTGAACTGAATCCTTCACTCTGTTTAGTGCCTTGAACATATGGGATCTCAATAGATGCTTGTTTTGGATTTTAGTTGAATTGGATTTTAGTTCCAGAGTTAAGAAAAAAAAGCATGTAAGGATTTGGGAAGTTTCTCCCATAAGCCAGTGTAAAATCTACCAATCTATTTTTTTAAATATCATTTGATACAGACTAAAATAATTCACTGCTTATAGGATTTCCTTGTTTGATACTGGTTTGTGTTACCCAGCTTATATATTTTGGATATTGGAAGTCATTTTCTCTTCAAAGCTGCTTAAAATGCTAATAAAAACCTCAGTCCTGTTAAAGGGAATAGTGTGTTTTCAGAGCCGGAAGGGACATTAGAGGTCCTATAACATAGCTGAAAGCACTGTGGGGGCGTTTACACTAATGTAGCAGTAAATACCAAGTGAAGTTATCCGGTCCGCTTGTGCTTGGAAAAAACTAGGTTTACTCAAAAGAAGTAGATTTGTAGAGATGAAGAAGGTAATTTTTGGACATTTTAAAGTACTTTGCAGGTTGATGAAAGTAAGTTCCTTAGTTTCATTTAAGTGATTTCTCTTGATTCAGGTATACTGGCAACACTGATTATTGTTAATGATACAGTTCACCACTGAAAAAGAGGAGAAAGGGACCTCATGAGGAACTGGAAAGGAGAAAGATGACTAAAAATTAGTTTTGTGTACATGAACAATAGTAAGACTGTCCCAAGTTAATTTTATAACTCTAAGGGAATAAATGAGAAAAAGTGAGATAGCCATGGTTTATGCATAAGATCTTTAAAAGATAAGTCATTCACTGGGTGATGTAGTTGGCCCATATCATTTAGAAACAAAGGTAAAATGTGTTTATGAGGGGAAGGTGGTGAGAGTTACTCATTGTGCAGAATAGTATATTTATTTCTACCATTATTTATGCTTCTCTGCATAGGATTTACTAAAGGTGAATGAGTTTTCCCCTTAAGGAAATTTCAGTCCTGTAGAATAAGCCAGGTGTGTAAGTTATACACTATAACTGTCTTGTTCATAACTGTATTTGCAGAGTCTGGCACAGTTCCTAATAATAGTAACCCAAAATATATGTTCAACTAATGAACGAGTGGCACTGTCTCTAAGTTATATCTACTTGGGACTCCTATAGGATTCTGAAAGTTAGTATCTTACGTTCCCCTTCTTCCACCTTAAGAATTAAACCTTTTTTAATTCTTATTTTATCTTGTTACAGTACCATCCACCAGAAAGCCCAGTTGGAATACCTTGATGTCACCCTTTTACTTACTTTTCT